TACATTTGACACTCGTGCACGAGCGCGGCCACGTTCCCGGACACGGTGTAGCGCAGAGTCCCACAGTCCACACCGCGACCATAGACTTCTATAGAACACAGTCTGTGACCAACACAGAGGACGAAATAATGACCCGACCTGAGAGAAAACTCTTCCCTTGGACGCAGCAGGAGCCAGGCTTTGATTTAATGAACGCAACTTTAACACTTTTACTTTAGTCTTTACGCACCGAGCGCCAGAGTGACCCGAGTCTGCGGACAACACAAAGCCTACTGCTCAAACCTGACCCGAACCTGACCCCAACCAAAATCTTCCCTACATTTTTGTGTAATGGGGAACTGAGCACATGAGAGCTGCTCTCTGACTGTATGAAGAACAGAATAATGCCCGTGCCCGTCCCGACCCAGACCCACACTCACAGTCCCAGACCCACAGACTCACAGAGGTCAGACCCAGACTCACAGACCCAGACCCAGACTCACAGAGGTCAGACCCAGACCCAGACCCAGACCCACACTCACAGGTTCAGCAGTTTGGATGTTTCGTGTGGACTTTAATTGGCAGAATAACATCTGTATCCGATGTGTTTCATGCTAAATCTGTGTCCTCGTGTCCTCGTGTCCCTCCCTCGCTCCTTTCCCTCTCCAGGGGAGGGCATCTGAATCTCTCGCACGCGCTCATAATTTGACCATTCAGATCAGCGCGTGCACGTATCTATGTGTATATGCATAAATATACAGGGCCAGTCCACACACACTTCATAGACAGACTTACAAATATAGCGATAAAACTCTTGAAACAGCGAAAAAACACATGGGCTTTACTGCAAAGATGTGCAGCCTAAATATTATGAAATATGATTAAATGAACAGATGAGTCATTGTTGTCACTTTTAGTTTTGTATTTATTTATTAAACCTTGTTTAATAAAGTCTTTAATAAAGTCTTTGATGTGACTGCGTGGTGCTGCGCAAATTGTAGTTGCAGGAGGGATTTATAAAGCAAAGATTGCGTGGTTTGGTGCGTGCGGTGGTTTTTCTAAATATGGAGTTTGCGTGGCGCACGCCTCTCGTAGCTACTAGATGTACGCACTAATGTACGACAACTCCTGTGCAGTTTTTTGTAAATGAGGCCCCTGATCTGTGGAGAGGTGACCCCGCTCACAGTCACAGTGTCTGTTTTTCGAGGTATTTTTAATTGGATAAATGTAAAGTCGAGCTGTTTAATGTCACACTGTGGAACATTCCAGGCAGAGTAATGACGTATCCATAGAAACAAGCAGGTGATGGACCCCAACCTAAAGTCCATATATGTGTGTGTCTCTAGTAAAAGTGTGCAGATGTTTTGGGTTTGATGTGGGTGTTAAAGTTGTGTCACTGCAGCGTTGATAATCCAGTCCAAGTGTTTATTTTTATGCTCAGTTCAGTTGGAAAAGAAATGGAGCCGTTTGTCTTTATGCAGCACTTGGTTCATTCTTCATCACTGTTTGTCCTGTTTGACCCGACGGTGTGAGCGCTGGTCCTGCTTAACACACACACACACACACACATATGCACGCACACACACACACACACACACATGCACACACACACACACACACACACACACACACACACACAGCAGAGTAATATCAGTGAAGTGAGTCCATATGGTCCCGGGTGTCTGTGGCTAATGCTAATGCTAACCAGCTGCGGTCTTTAAGAGGGGATATGGGGTCGAAGGTCACATGTGCCAAAGTAAACCTGCTCTGTTACCGCGCCTCGGGTCTCTGGGCTTCATCAAGTCCTCGCTCTGCACCTGAGGAGACAGATGGGTCTGAGCCCGAACGTCGACAAGAACGACGCTTTTTCCATGTTTTTTTTTTTTTTTTCAACTTAAAGGTCTCGTATGACGCTGATCTACATTATAATGTCGTTTCCTCATCACAAACAGACCTGCAGTTGTGTTTTGTTTCATGTTTAACACACAAACTCTGCACATTTACACTGAGTTCTTCTCTCAAACTGAAAAGACACTGGTCCACCTTGTGATGTCATGTGCCAATACAGGAAGTGCTCCACTGTGTTTTTTTCATTTTCATTTTTCATTTTTTTATTGTTTCATTCATGTGACTTGTCAAAGCCTGAAGTCAGATCTCAGAAGTTCAGAGGTCTGCTCTGCTCTGGTCTTGGATGGAGACACTGAGAAAATCAGGAGCCACAGGAGGCACCAGAACAAAAGCTGTTGTTGTGTCTTTAGGCAAGACACTTCACACACATTGCCTAGTTTAAACGTGGTGTGAGCATGAGTGATGGTGGTGGTCAGAGGGGCTGATGGCGCCGATTGGCAGCCACACTTCCATCAGTCTGCCCCAGGGCAGCTGTGGCTATAACAGTAGTTTACACTCCTCAGTGTGGAGTGAGTAAATAATGAAATGTAAAGTGTTTTTGAGTGTTTGGAAAAGCTATAATTGATGGATTATTATTAATAATTATGTTTCATACATCGATGTGAATGAAAAGGAGCAGAAAGAATATGAATAAGAATGTGTAATATCTGCCCCTTTTTACACAAAATAAAACATTTCCAACACTTCAACAGTTCCAACTGAATGTAGAATCTGTAGCAGCTACATTTATAAGCAACTTATTTAAGTGGCATGAATGGTTGTTCTAAAGCTTTTTTTTTTTTTTTTTTTTTTACGATTTCAATTCCTTTCAAATTATAAAGACTTTCTCTTTTTGTAAACTTTCTTTGGAGATTGTTGGGCGAGATCTGCTGATTTACTTTGAACATAGTTGTTAAAATATGAAGTTCTACCACTTTGTTGAATTTTTGTATCTTCAGTTGTATGTTTTTTAAACTCCACACACCTTCACTAGAATCATTTGGATGATTTCAGCCCTGGAATCGTTTCTGGGGGGAACATTAGAACATGATTTAAAACTCACAGGATTCCATTTTGTGTAACACAGGACTTTTAAAGTCCTTGTACCTGATTGTTTGTATAAGCAGCTCTTAAAGGGATAGTTCAGGATTTTTGACATAAATCTGTATGTCATCCCTGTGAGCAGTGTTGTGCATCAACACTGACTTACCCCCCGAAAGCGTCCGGTGAGCCGAGATCGTGACCGGTTTTGGTGCTGAGGAAAGTAGTTCGGCAAGTTGTGTGGGGACTGTATACTAAAGCGTTTTTCTTCTCAAAGCAATATTTGTTCAAAAGAGTGATACATTTGCATCACAAAACCATCGTCGCCAAAAAAGTCAGATCTCATAATCGCTTGGCGCTATTTTCTCTCCGTACGTACCACTGCGCGCGGCCGCCAGGTGACAGCCGCGCACCGATCCATCACTTTCTTCAGTTGTTCGGCAGTGTTTACATGCGCAGACCGCCGCCACGCGAGAGAGCTAACGAGAGAGCTAGAGCCATAAGTATACAAGCTTGTATAAGATACATATGAATATATCTAAAAAATGGTGCGAACTCTTGATTCTCCAGGCTGTAACAACAAAAATCTGGCTGAATCTCCACACACATTTCACTGTTTTCCTGTCACGGACTTTGCGCTGATTAAACTTTGGCTTCTTGCCTTTGGCTTCAATGTGGAAACTAAACCAGGTAAGAACGAAGAAGTGCCGCTGTGTTTACAAGAGAACAGGTTCAAGAATCAGCTGTAACTCTGTGTGCAGTAAATCACTCAGTGTCATATCACCAGTGAAGCTTCTACAAAACATAACTTTATAAGTCGACTGTTATTACTATTGTAAATGTCACGTACACTGTTGGCAGCAGCTACGTGGACGTGTGGATGATTCTATGTTTCTATTAGTCGTCCATGCTTCAGTCACAGTGTCGGCTCTATGTTCACTGTATATGAGTTTATAAATGACGTGATGGTGATTGTCGCTCACTCGGTCTCTCACAGCTCCAGCGTCAACTTGTACCACTTCTCTGTCTTTTCTCTCTCTCTGCTCGTTCTAACTCCATCTGGTGAAATTCGGCATCAGTATATTCGGGTTCACAAAGATCTCCCCTTGAGTTTGTGGTAAAGGCAAAGTCTTTATTGTCGGTGTCATAATCAGACATGTTGTCGCTAACATTCCGAGCAGTAAACAAAGTGAACCAGGCTCATATACTTCTGGCTCTAGCTCTCTCGTTAGCTCTCTCGTTAGCTCTCTCGCGTGGCCGCGGTCTGCGCATGTAAACACTGCTGAACAACTGCACAAAGTGATGGATTGGTGCGCGGCTGTCACCTGGTGGCCGCGCGCAGTGGTACGTACGGAGAGAAAATAGCGCCAAGCGATTATGAGATCTGACTTTTTTGGCGACGATGGTTTTGTGATGCAAATGTATCACTCTTTTGAACAAATATTGCTTTGAGAAGAAAAACGCTTTAGTATACAGTCCCCACACAACTTGCCGAACTACTTTCCTCAGCACCAAAACCGGTCACGATCTCGGCTCATCATGTAAGTCGGTGTGGATGCACAACACTGATGATGGGGATGCCATACAGATTCATGTCAAAAATCCTGAACTATCCCTTTAAGGTCATGTAAGTCTGCTGTGTGCTGCTGCCTGCATGGAATTATGAAGTGGTTTTTATCACAATAATCCGGAAGTGTGCAGTTAGCATGCTAGTTGTAGATACTGTTGCTATAAGTTGATGTAGTAATTATCGTGACAGACTTAATAGTTATATAAAATCAGGCACAGACCTTTAAACAACGTAGAAGATCTTTATTCAAACTGTATTTCTGAGGGTTACAACTCTACTCTGAGCAGCTACAAATCATTTAAAACACTTCATCTATATTATGTCACTATGTGCGCTAAGTGGCTCCCTCTTGTGTCTGAAACAAAATGATGAATGGAGCTGTGTGAAAAGCGAGGGGTCGATACACGCGTCATGTTTTCTGATGAATGAGGAAACACTCGAGTTTGGGTCAATAATATCCACTGGACACTGGACACTTCCTCTTGAGTTGAATCTGATTTATTTTGTGTGTGTCTCTGTGCAGATGTGGAGCACAAAGAGGAGGACGGAGCAGATTCAGTCAAGACAGAGGTGAGAATTTTCAAACGGTTTTGTTGCAAATTGAACCAAATGATGTGTATTTTTAAAATTTCATTTCAAGACACAAAAACTTTCTTCTTGTTTCTTGTATTGCACCACAGATCAGATCCATCTTGGATTCCTACAGTTTACAGCTCATTTAACGAACATTCACATGTAATTGATGTTGGCTTTGGCCTAGTTTAGTCCTGGTGTAGACTTTAGTTTGGTCCTGTTCTAGTCCTGGTTTAGTCCTGGTCTAGTCTAGGCTCAGTTTCAGCTTTAGTCCCAGTTTATTCCTGATTACAGTGTTTTGTAGAGTTGTGCACATGTGAACTCACCCGAAATACCATGGGAATAGTTACATCTTGTGAGTAATCTGACGGGGGGGGGCAGACCCTCCACCTCAAAAATTACATAGTGCACCTTAAAATGACAAAGTATTATTAAAGATTTTCTATGTAACATTTCTCAAATCAAATCAAATGTGTTTGTAAAGCACATTTAAAAGAGCCAAAGCTCATTAAAGTCCTGAACAAGATTTACAGTGAAATAAAACCTGCAATAAACAAAACAGTTATCATAAAAATAATAACAGTAATGTGCCAAGGTGTCTGTTCCAAACTCTGGACAAATGCCGAGGAGAAAGGATGTGTTTTGTGTTTTTCTGATGCAGGGTCCACTACCTACTTGTCTCTATAGAGACGGCCCCTCCTGGACCAGTCCAGTCAAAGCTTTAAAAACAAACAATAAAATCCTAAAATCAACTTGAAAACGAACTGGAAGTCAGTGCAACAACACTTAAAAATCAGTTTAATGTGCTCATGTTTTTTGGTTCCAGTTAAAGGTGCACAGCACAATTCTGTTTGATTTGTTTAATACAGATCCCCAACAGAAAAGCCTCACAGTGCACCTTTAAGAGGTGTTTTTGTTGTGGATTGTGTCTCATAAAGTCATCATGACGTGCTCTGTTGTTGTGTCGGCGCAGGGCGGGCGTGGGCGGATGAGAGGGGGCGTGGGCTGGGAGATCAGCCTGCGTCAGAGGCCTGTGCCCAGGGTCACGTTCCAGGCCGGAGACCCCTACTACATCAGCAAACGCACCCGAGAAGAATGGCTCGCCAAGTGGAAGATGGAGGTGAGAGACAGACACAGAGAGAGAGAGACAGAGAGAAAGAAAGAGAGACAGAGAGACAGAGAGAGAGAGAGAGAGACAGAGAGAAAGAAAGAGAGAAAGAAAGAGAGACAGAGAGAGAGAGAGAGACAGAGAGAGAAAGAGAGACAGAGAGAGAGAGAGAGAGAAGAGAGAGAAAGAAAGAGGGACAGAGAGAAAGAAAGAGAGACAGAGAGAAAGACAGAGAGAAAGAAAGAGAGACAGAGAGACAGAGAGAGAGAGAGAGAGACAGAGAGAAAGAAAGAGAGAAAGAAAGAGAGACAGAGAGAGAGAGAGAGACAGAGAAGAGAGACAGAGAGAAAGAAAGAGAGACAGAGAGAGAGAGAGAGAGAGAGAGAGAGAGAAGAGAGAGAGAGAGAGACAGAGAGAGACAGAGAGAAAGAAAGAGAGAGAGAGACAGAGAGAGAGAGAGAGAGAGAGACAGAGAAAGACAGAGAGAGAGAGGATCTGTATTAAACTCTGTGTCTGTGTAAATGCATCATAAAAACTCATCTCTGGCCTAGTTTTGTTTGAATAAAGTTTCCATCAGACAGAGCACACTGTTACACTTTTGATTCATTCAACTACAAACAGCACAAAACTTACCAGAGACTGTTTATATAAATGGAGCTAGACCTGCTAGCCACTGTTTTCCAAACAAGAAGTGAACATGGGGGAACTTCTGACTCCATCAACTCAGGCTCCAGTTCATTTTATATTGTAAAAACATCCCGTTTTTCTCCTTCACTTCTGATGTCAGGCACTTCCACTATTCCAAACATTAATAACAGACCAATCAGGCGTCTGCTTTCCCCAAGGTCGACTCCAGGTACTGCAGCTCCACAAGTTTAGGCCCAGAAAGAATTCTCCCACAGAGAGCAATGCATTTTGGGAATTCAAACTGTCCTTGTTCTTCAGGGCATCCGGCTTTCACAAAGGTCGGGTTTTGTAGGATTCTTTTCTATTTTCACACTTTTTAACACGTTTAAATCCTCATCACTCCTAAAGTGATCTTTGTCAGACTGAGCGTCACCTTCTTTTCTGCTTTTCTCTTTCTCCCCCTTTGTCACTTTTTCTCGTCCTCGCTCCTCTCTCTCTCTCCCCTTCTGTTTTTTCTCTCCCTCCTTCTGTTTTCTTTTTTCTCTTATCTTCCACCCTCTCTCCATATCCCTTTCTCTTCTTTCACTCTTTCACTCTCCCTCTTTTCCCTTTTATTTTCTTTTACTCTGCCCCACTTGCTTTTCTCTCTTTCTCCACCGTTTTCACTTTTTCTCCTTCTCCCCTCCCCTCTCTCACTCTCTCTCTCCCCCCTTTCCTCTCTTTCACTTCACAATCTCTCTCTCCTCCCCTTCCCCCTCTTTCTCTCCACGCTCCCTCCATCCTCTGTTCATGAAAGAGGTAGAGAGTTCTGTTCTTCCGTGCTGATCTGCTGTTTGACACTTTGACTCATGTTTCACACATCAAACTTTTGACAGGTCCAATTTCAGCGCGAGGGAAACTGTGAACAGAACAGACCCAGAGAAGACTCGGGTTCAGATGAAAACAATATTTGACTGTTGACAGATTTCTCATGCTCAGAAAGATCTGGAGTCTAACCCACAACCTCCGAACTTTCTTTTTGTATGAAAAACAGCAAAAACAGAACAGTTTGCAGTTGTCCAAAGTTATTCCTTTTTTACCTTATTACCAGTCCTGTTTTGGTCCTAGTTTAGGTTTGGTCGAGTTTTGGTTTAGTCCTGCTTTAGTCCTGTTATATTCTTATTTTAGTCCTGGTTTAGTTTAGTTTTTTTTTTCCTGATTTAGTCCTGTTTTTTGTCCTGGTTTAGTCCTGTTTTTTGTCCTGGTTTAGTCCTGTTTTTGTCCTGGTTTAGTCCTGGTTTAGTCCTGTTTTTGTCCTGGTTTAGTCCTGGTTTAGTCCTGTTTTAGTCCTGGTTTAGTCCTGGTTTAGTCCTGGTTTTGTCCTGACAGTATTCCACATTGCTTAACTATCAACTAGCATCCTAACTGCAAACGTCCTGATTATTGGAGAATAAAATGATGTATAACTGAGCGCAGACAGAACACAGAGGATTTATTTTGAGCCTCAGTGTCTCTTATACTTCTACATATCTGCAGCTGTTTGGTCTGTTTGGAGTTTGGCTTTTGGTGCAGAGTCACGTGGACCAAGACCAGATCTGTTCTGAGTCTCAGTCCGATTGATTTAGTGCAGATCTTCACACCAACAAAAAACAACACAGTTAAGAGCTTCTGGATCTAATGGAACGTTTGGTGCAACAACTGCTGTCAGTGTGAAAGAACTCTTAGTCCTTTTTTAGTCCTGGTTTAGTCCTTGGTTAGACTCACGCTTGTACACTTTTTATAGTTCCTGTAGTCCAACTTTAGACCTGGTTTAGTCCTGATGTACACCTGGGGTTTTGCCCCTCTCTTCTGCCCCCTCTCTTCTGTCCCCTCTCTTCTGTCCCTCTCTTCTGTCTGTTTTGCCCCTCTCTTCTGCCCCTCTCTTCTGCCCCTCTCTTCTGCCCCTCTCTTCTGCCCCTCTCTTCTGCCCCCTCTGTTCTGCCCCTCTGTTTTGCCCCTCTGTTTTGCCCCTCTCTTCTGCCCCCTCTGTTTTGCCCCTCTCTTCTGCCCCCTCTGTTCTGCCCCCTCTGTTTTGCCCCTCTTTGCCCCTCTCTTCTGCCCCTCTGTTTTTGCCCTCTCTTCTGCCCTCTGTTCTGCCCCTCTGTTTTGCCCCTTCTGCCCTCTTCTGCCCCCTCTGTTTTGCCCCTCTCTTCTGCCCCTCTCCCTGGAGCATTAGTGGCCCATAAACCTGTCTGGGGGTAAAATACGTTGGTATTAGTGGGACATGCTGGAGCTCCACAAGTGAAGCTTTAAAATACGACTGAGAGGATTTTTGAAACGAGACGGAGATTTAAAGGGGCTAAAGATGCTAATTGTGAACGCCGCTGGTTTATTTCAGCGTTTGTCACGTGAGCTTTTCACCGAGCAAGGACAAAGACTCGTCTGTTTTTCTCTCACAGCGTTTCTCCATTTTTAAAGCTCAAGAGATCAAAAAAAAAAAATAATAATAAAGTGTAATTATGACGTCACATTGAAGTTTTATTAAAAACTATTGACTTTCCTCAACAGAAACACAACACAACATAAACCCATGAGTTTTGTTTTTAGACCTGATTTAGACCTAGTTTTGAACTTTTTTTGTCCTGGTTTGGACCTGGTTTGGATCTAGTTTAGACCTGGTTTAGAACTTTTTTGGACCTGGTTTGGACCTGGTTTGGACCTGGTTTAGACCTGGTTTGGACCTGGTTTAGACCTGGTTTAGACCTGGTTTAGACCTGGTTTAGACCTGTAGTCCTACCAGGATTACCATTTAGTCCAACCTGCTTTTTTGATTAGTCCCACTTGTTTCATCTTATTTAAGTTCAGGTTTAGGCCTGGATTAGTCCTGGTTTAGGCCTGGTTTAGTCCTGGTTTAGGCCTGGTTGAGTCCTGGTTTAGGCCTGCTTGTAAGGTGCGTTCACCCATCCAGTTTAGTCCTGGTCCTGATGTAGACTTTGTTTGGTCCTGTTCTAGTCCTAGTTTAGTCCTATTTTAGTCCTGGTTTAGTCCTGATTTAGTTCCCAGTTGTTCCTGGTTTACTTCTGGTTTGGTTCTTGTTTATTTATTCCTGCATTTGTTCTGTAATAGTCCAGGTTTAGTCCAGTTTAGTCCAGTTCAGTCCAGGTTTAGTCCATCTTTAGTCTTGTTTTAGTCCAGGTTTAGTCTTGTTTTAGTCCAGGTTTAGTCTTGTTTTAGTCCAGGTTTAGTCCTGTTTTAGACCCACTTGTAGGCTGAGTCCACTCACACACTTTAGTCCTGATGTAGACTTTGTTTGGTTTTGTTCTAGTCCTAGTTTAGTCCTGGTTTAGTTCAGGTTTTACCTACATCAGTTTTGATTTAGATCTGAGTTAGTCCTGGCTTAGTCCTTAGTTAGGCCCAATCTTGTATAGTTTTATTTAGGTCAGGTTTTGTCTTATAGTCCAGATTTAGACATGGTTTAGTCCTTGGTCCTTGATTAATATTATTTTAGTTCTGAGTTAGACCTGGTTTAATCCTTGGTTAAACTTTTTTATAGTTACATTTTTATCCTATAGTCCAGATTTAAACCAGATTTAGTCCTGATGTAGACCTGGTTTAGTCCTGATGTAGACCTGGTTTAGTCCTTGATTAATATTATTTTAGTCCTGGTATAGTCCTAGTTTAGTCCCTGGTTAGACTCACTCTTGTATACTTTTTTAGTTCAGGTTTGTCCTGTAGTCCAGCTTTAGACCTGGTTTAGTCCTGATTTAGACCTGATTTAGTCCTGATGTAGTCCTGGTTTAGTCCTGGTTTAGTCCTGGTTTAGTCCTGATTTAGACTTGGTTTAGTCCTGGTGTAGACCTGGTTTAGTCCTGATGTAGACCTGGTTTAATCCTGATGTAGACCTGGTTTAGTCCTGATGTAGACCGGGTTTAGACCTGGTTTAGACCTGATGTAGACCTGGTTTAGTCCTGATGTAGACCTGGTTTAGTCCTGATGTAGACCTGGTTTAGTCCTGATGTAGACCTGGTTTAGACCTGGTTTAGTCCTGATGTAGACCTGGTTTAGACCTGGTTTAGTCCTGATGTAGACCTGGTTTAATCCTGATGTAGACCTGGTTTAGACCTGGTTTAGTCCTGATGTAGACCTGGTTTAGACCTGGTTGAGTCCTGATGTAGACCTGGTTTAGACCTGGTTTAGTCCTGATGTAGACCTGGTTTAGACCTGGTTGAGTCCTGATGTAGACCTGGTTTAGACCTGGTTGAGTCCTGGTCCAGTCCTTTTCTTTTCTGTCTCACTCCAAGACAACCTCCTTTGGCTCGGCTCCAATGTTTTGCAAGTCCCTTTCCGCTTCCAGCCAATCGTGTCCCTCCTCCGCGGTCACATGACGTCCGAATTCCCACACAAAGAAACGCACAAGTCTTCCCTCT